GACATCCTCTAAAAATTTATGCACTTGCTTCAGATTCTCATCAATGAGTAGTATATTGCTGGTGGTCAGCTGCAACTCGTCATCTGGCTGGTTGAGGCTGTCGAGGAGATGTTGTAAGCCTTTGTGGATATCAGTCTGAACTGTCTCCTTGAAATTGAAATTGAGGCCCTGGGGGATCTGGATGTGAGTGTCACCTTTGGTCCCAGGGGAGAGCATCACAAAGGCTATAGCAATGCTTACTGGGGAGAAGAAGGTGTTGGTGGTGTTGGACTGATGGGCCAGCTCACGGTACAGGCTGAAGGCGAGGTCAGCCAGGTTGGGGGTTATGTTGGGGAGGGGTGAGTGTTGATCGAGATTTTGATCATGCTTGGATGCTTACAGGGAGCCAGGCACCAGGGAGCACAGGCCTGCCAGCAGGAGGAGGCCCCACGTGGTGGAGGATGGCTTTGTCCTGCAAGAGAGAGAAGGGCCACCAAGCCCAAGTCAGGCCACACGATGAGTCCCTAGGCCACTGATCAGCACCATGGAGAGCAACCACAGTTTATCAAACAGCTGCTATGTGCCAGGCCTGTGCCAAGCACTTTCTGCATCATCACCACTGAAAGACTGAGAACAATAGCAAAGACTTTGATGGTGCTCACCGTATGCCAAGCTCCCTTCTAAACACTTGACTGTCTTATCTCGTTGCCCTCTTGTAACAATCCCATGATGTAGGTCACATGACAAGTCTCAATTTACAGAGGAGGGGCCAAAGCTCCAAGAAGTTAAGTCACTTATCCAAGGTCACAGAGCAGTAAAGTAGCAGGACCAGAATCACCCAGCCAGGTAGTCTGGGTCTCGAATCCATGCTCTTGACGGCTCCACTAACATTGGCAATGACCTCGCTGTGCAAGTCCCACAGCCCTTATTTTACAAAAGAGGAAACTGAGGCACAAGAATCATACTGTCCATGCACACGATTACCCAGGAGGCAGGGATGATTGGGTCTGGAGCAGCCCTCGGAGGGCTGCCATTGAAGCCTGTTATTTAACAGACAGAGGCACTGCTGCCCAGAGAGGGGAGGATCCTGCCCAATGACACACAGCCAGAACCCAGCGGGGCTGTGAGGAACCCCATCCTGGCTGATTTGGTGCAGACTCTCCCTGACTCCACACACTTCGTCCCTCTCCCTCAGCGACTACAGCCCTCACCTTACAGGCCACTTGAGCCTGGAGCTGATTATCATCTGATCATCCAACGTCCCGGGCCTGGGAATGCTGTTGAAAAATATCACATGAGAGCTCTCACCCTCAAGGCATCACAGATGCTAACTTTGTCTCATGGGGTGTCTTGTTATCTTCCTTTTACACACTGTGGAAAGTGAGGCTTGGTGAGTTTCAGTAACTTGCTCGAGGCCACACAGCCATTCAAGCAGAGCGGGGACAGACAGCTCTCTCTGCTTCTGGTCTGGGGCTCTGTGTACGGGGGTGTTCCCCTGATAACCGCCCCCTGAAGTGGGATCTTGGTGGCTTCTCAAGGCCTGGCACTCGGGGAGTCAGGTGTCCCAGGCTCAGTACTGTTGACATTCTGGGCTGGGGAATTCTGTGCTGTGGGGCGCTGTCTTGTGCATTGTAGGATGTGTGGCCTCCTAGAGAAAACTAGATGCCAGTAGCAACCTCTCAACCCCCAGGTATGACAATCAAAAATTCTCCAGACATTACCCAGCATCCCCTGGTGTCAAAGTGCCCTGTGGAGGTCCCCTGATGGGGAGGAGGGCTCAGAGCACGAGGCCCACGTGGGCCTCCTCCTCTCAGGTTGGACAGACTTTTCTCATTTCCAAGTGAATTTGGCTCAAGTGAGTCCCAGCTGATTTGCTCATGGGGGCCAAAGTGCTCCCTAGACCTAGTCAGTTTGGGGTGTCCATTCTTCTTGGGTGGGGGCCCTGTCTGGGGATGCCAGGATTCTATTGTGGGGTGTTGTGCCAGGCCTTCAGGAGACCACAGCAAATGTCCTCACCTGTCGCCTTGGGAGCTCGGATGCCCCTGTGGTCCTTCTAGCAGTGGGAGCTTAATGACAACCCCCTCTGAGTGCCAGCGGTGTCCCCACGAAACCCTCACACCCGGCCACAGCCCTTACAAGCCTCTCCTGAGGTAGCTCTATGGTAAGTCTCAGGTCCTAGCCCCCGAATTGTCTGCAGTCCCTG